ACAAAATCTGGTGCAGCTCTGCATAGAAACCAATCAGCTTCCATGTCTGGCAAAACGCAGGTCAGACCATGGCCGTTTTCACCAATTTGTGACAAATGACTAGTCAACCTCACACCACGCTGTCATTGACACAAAGAGTTTCCAACTTGTGGGACCACAATCTAGGTGTCAACAGACTCAGAGCGAATGTCACTGGGTTTAGTTAACTTCGCAATTAACCCTTTAAATGTCAAAGTGCCAACAGATAGATTTTGGCTTATCAACCCTTCACAATGACAATTATAAATCTAAATAAACATCTCTTCACACACTGTCACCACAGACAGGTATAGCCAGAGATTTACCATGAAGTAACAATTTTTAAGTGGCAGCGATCTTTAAGTTGGCATTAGGGCATTAGAGACACTTACAGGAAAAGGGTATTACAAAGAAACTAAGAGACAACAAGGCAACAGCAAAACAAAAAGAGTTTAAAAATGAAAATACTTATCATGTCACGGTTCAGCAAAGTCCAACCAATGAGCAGGGTGATATATTGGCTCCCATACGACTTGATATGTGTCCTTTGGTTTGATGTTAAATGAGAGCTGTCAACTGTGGTTGCAGTGCCCTTTTCTGAACCTTGAAGGACTATGGAAAGAAATGACTTGATCAATCATTCGGTCTAAGGTGTGGCTGCTGGGATGTAACAGTGTTTATGACCATGTCCCAGACACAGTTTTCTATAGGAATTAATATCTTTGAATACCTACATGTCACAGTCTACTAACTTGCATATTATTGTCCATCATTGCATTACCTTGGATATGGATATAAATATCCAAAAATAAGGTGTAAAATCCCTCAAAAAAACTGCGCTAAAAAATCGTATAATTACCAATAATTTGAAAAATAATATAAAATCATCAATTAATGTGAAATGTGCAAATCACTCATATGATAATAGCCTGCTGCCACATTCAATTATTAAACAAAATCAAATAATATTTATAAAATAAATAACTATTAATGCGACGCATGCATCAATAATGATAATTTTCAATTAATAAACATATATAAAAGTCCAAATAATTCAGTCCATTCTTGTGATCACCACGTGAAGAAAAAATTATTATGCAAAATTCATCAGAATAAATCACTTCGATCCTCCAATAATCACCTCGTGAATGATTGTGCAGAAAAACTAAATATAAATCTGTATAGTGGTCCCCTCTCAGGTGTGCACTCACCAAACTTAATTGCCTCCCACGCTCATGGTTGGCATGCTGAGCTTAAGATTATAATTCTCCAAGGATCAGATCACCCTTCACTCAGTAGTATGGATCTCTCTAGTAATGGTTCCCGATCTACAGGTATAAGGTAATAATTTCTTCCAATACTGTTTGGGAGAGCGCGGGCCGAGGAGACGGCTGGAGGAGGGGAAGGAGTGACATCACGTGAACCGCACAGCTGCTTCCTGCTCACGTGACTGCGCGTCCTGACCTCGCCTGCAAAAAGTGGACATTTTTTGATGGATATATACAATATATGACAGGTTTTGGATGTCAACTTTACTAAGGAGGGATAATGTGTCTTATTAGCTCCCATCTCATTTAAAATAGGGGTGTTTTGGGCTTAAAAATGTTACTAATTAACTGATGGAGGTAAATATGTCCTTATTCTGGCTGTGCTGTAATTATTTCATGAGTTATGAATTACCCTGCAGTTATTGATTCTGCCTAGGCAGAAATGTTTATTGCTAGAGACTTCAGCTTTGGTATTTATGACAAGAGGCGATCTGGTAGCTATCTGTTAGTTTTCCAGGTTGCTCAAGCTTGCAAATTTGACAGTTTTATGAGGGCTTCTGGACTGAAGTGTGGATTCTGCTAATATGTATAAGAATGTCTGCATCTGTCCTCTCAAGCATCTGATAAGAAGGTTCTAGCATCAGCTAACAGTTTGTGTATTGTATGAACTGAAGGAGGAGGGAAGTGGAAGTTCACTGAATCTATGTCTCTTCTTATGACAAAATGGCATGGGTGACCTGGGACCCGACCAACATGGCTGCCTCATACAGTTTTCCATGTGCCCAATGCGCATGACTATTACACGAGGTTTTATTGTCAAAGCTTAAATGAACAAGCTGCTGTTATAAAGCTGATTGGCTACCATGCAAAGCTGCACCTGATTTTGAGTTCTCAAGTTTCAAAAAATCCCCCCCCCCCTTGTCTTCTGATTGTTTATAATGCAGTAAACATTTAAAGCCCAATCATGGGCTTATCCTTCCCCTTCCATATATTTTTTTTTTGATTTTTTATGCTTACCTATTTCATAAGGTCTGGTCTAGTCACATGACATGCGGGGTCATCATTCTGTTTGGATCCATTTACAGTTTTGGGTGTCCTTGATGAAAAATGGTACTGACATGATGATGACATCACCATTTTGCATATATATATATATACACATACACACAGTATCTCACTAAAGTGAGTACACCCCTCCCATTTTTGTAAATATTTTATTATATCTTTACATGCGACAACACTGAAGAAATGACACTTTGCTACAATGTAAAGTAGTGAGTGTACAGCTTGTATAACAGTGTAAATTTGCTGTCCCCTCAAAATAACTCAACACACAGCCATTAATATCTAAACCGCTGGCAACAAAAGTGAGAACACCCCTAAGTAAAAATGTCCAAATTGAGCCCAATTAGCCATTTTCCCTCCCTGGTGTCATGTGACTCATTAGTGTTAGAAGGTCTCAGGTGTGAATGGGGAGCAAGTGTGTTAAATTTTGTGTTATTGCTCTCACTCTCTCATACTGGCCACTGGAAGTTTAACATGGCACCTCATGGCAAAGAACTCTCTGAGGATCTGAATAAAAGAATTATTGCTCTACATAAAGATGACCTAGGCTATAAGAAGATTGCCAAGACCCTGAAACTGAGGTGCAGCACGGTGGCCAAGAGCATACAGCGGTTTAACAGGACAGGTTCCACTCAGAACAGGCCTCGCCATGGTCGACCAAAGAAGTTGAGTGCACGTGCTCAGCGTCATATCCAGAGCTTGTCTTTGGGAAATAGACGTATGAGTGCTGCCAGCATTGCTGCAGAGGTTGATATTGAAACTTTTACCATGGGCAAAATGTGCAGACATAATGAAAACTGCAGCCAGGGTTTTTTTATTTTTACAATTAAAAAAAAAAAAAGAAACTCCAGATCTTTTTAAAAGAAAATCAGCCTGGAGTTGGGCTTTAGTTGATCTAATTTTATTTTTACTGTACTCAATGAGTATTGTTAGTTATTTAATAAAATACAAATTCTGATTGGTAAGTAATGGCTATTGTACAGTGATCATTTAAATTCTGTTTAATAAATGTTGAATACATATATTTTTTTAAATCTTTTTTATCAATTCCAAACTAATCCAGTTACATTTCTAACATAGCCTCATTCAAGATGACCTTTTTACCCTGAACTCCCCCCCCCCAACCTCCACCCACTAAAGCTTACAAGACAGAGCCAATTTTAATATTGAAATGTAAGGAAATTTATAAGTACCAGGCCTTCAAATTGACATAAGGAATGCATCAGACTCTTCCTTTTTACACCCTTCATATAGTTTTACCACATTGTGGTACAAAAACATCCGGAAAATTACATCAAAATATGTGAATGCTGGAAATATAGAAATCCATTGGCACTTTGTTTCTGGTTTCCCGCTTTCTGGATTATCATATGCTGTTATTCCTTCTGATCTCATCTGCACCTGAAATAAAATACTGAAGACATATTATAAAGTGCTCAGTAATAAAATGACACTGCCTTTTGGAGACTTTAGGTTCTGTAAATAAATAAAAGAAAAAAAGTCAGAATTTTCTGCACATGCTTCTCTTCTGAGCCTGCTCTGAGATAAATTGTTGACTACTGTCAGTTGCAGAAGACTCTTGCAACCATATTGCCCTAAACATATATTAAGATCACCCCGCCCCCTTGGCTTGAAGAGGACTCCATCAAAAGCTATAAACAAATTTTTCAAATATATGAGAGATACATAATTACAATTATTTGTGTACATATTTTTACCTTAATTTATATATGACAAGGGTTAACAATTAAATGCTTTCTGAGTTACTGACCTGGAACAGGTATGTTGATAAGGAATTCTGACACTCTTGTCATTAACAGCACCTACAAAGGTAAAGATGAAATAATTATTTTGCCAAGCACAATTTCCAATACCAAACACAGAAGGTAATAGTTACACTGAGCTGGCAAAATAACACTACTTGGCATGAGGAGGAAGACCAACCAGCCACTTGCTTTATGTCAATGTGTTATAGTCTGGTGGATCCACAAGATTGCCTTGTGTTTGTGATGATGACAACCAATCATCACATGACCAAACAAACTTAAAGCGGAACTTTACCCATAACAACTTGATAAAAAATAATTTTCTTCAGCAAGGAACATACATTCCACATTAACCTCCCTAGCGGTCTGATTATGTCAATATTTTTGGGGTCAAAGTGGAACATTGTTTTAATGGAAATATGTTGTTTTTTTATTGTAGGCCTGTAATTCTTAGGAATAACTCAGTGAAATCTGTCCGAACAAGAGCCTAGTAAACATCCCAGGTAGGATAAAATTTGAAACACGAAATCATAAATTATATTATAATAAATAATCATAAAAAAATAATAATATCATAATAAAACATTGTATTCAATAATGTAATCAAACCAAAAACACTGAAATTTGAAAAATAGCGCCAAGTTTGCACATCACTGAGCAAAGTCGCAAAATCGTTTTCAGTGTCTGATGACGAATTTCCCCACAAATCATTATCACTCAATTCTGCAAGTGGTTCTAATTTACTATCGCTGTTCTCTAGCTGGTCTAAAATCGCTTTTGACCTAAAGGGACGCTTTTTGGATGCCATGGATGTTTCTCAGTTTCCAGGCAGAAAGAACAGTAAAAATGCAGGCAGGGCACAGGACAAAGCACTAGGGACAAAATGTATGTGAAATGCTGTGATACAGGAATGTAATACTATCAGATTTTAGTGTATTCAGTGAATGTCAAATTTTTTAATTTTTGAAATTCTCACCGGTTCCATGCCCCGTACATCCCATACGTCCCGACGCTTGCAAGGACTGGAACCCGGAAGACGGATGCTGGCATCAGCTGGAGGACATGGCCGGGGATGCTGCAGGGGGGACATCGCAGGAGCGCAGGACAAGGTAAGTGCTGGAGGGATCCCGGAGCAACGCTGCAGGGTAATCTCGAGTGTCGCTCGGGGTTACCGCTTCTGGTACTAAAAGTTAACCCCAAGCTACACTCGGGAATACCGCCAGGGGGGTTAATAATAATGCTACCAAAATGAGTGCCTGCTGTAAATTGCCTTCAGCATTGCTCCTGTTTCTTCTGGCTGGAGGCTGCCCAGAGCCCCTGCACAGCAGTCAATCTAAAACCAGAACTAAACCCATCGATTTAACAGTTTAAAAAAACAGTTACATTCCTGGAATGTCAGGATTGCTAACTGTCACAGTTGCTTGTGTCCTCAACCAAACTGTCAAACCATCAAATGGCTGGTGTCATCACATGTGGAGCACCGTGGCAGTTGTAGATCAAACAGAAACAGCTTCCTTGGCTGTAAAGGATAGGAGAGTTTAATTCTGCTTTAATCACTTGCCTACCAGACACTTATACCCCCTTTGCACCCAGGCCAAATTTCAGCGGTCATGCAACATTGTACCCATATGAAATTTTTGTTTCTATCATAACATTTTTCAAACAGGTCATTTTTCTCCTTCACTGATGTGCATTGATGAGGCTGCACTGATAGGCAGCACTGATGGGCACTGATAGGGAGAACTGATGGGCACTGATGAGGTGACACAGATAGGCAGCACTGATGGGTACTGATAGGCTGCACTGATGGTCACTGATGAGCTGGCACAGATAGGCAGCACTAATGGGCACTGATAGGCTGCACTGATGAAATGGCACTGATGAGGTGGCACTGGTGGGCATTGATGAGGAGGCACTGATGATGTTGCACTGATATGCAGCAATGATGGTCACTGATAGGTGGTACTAATGGGCACTGATAGGCAGCACTGATGGGCACCACTGACGGACGCTGCTGACTGATGGCACTGACTGAAAGCCCTGACAGGCAGCACTGACTGATGACACTGACTGGCAGCACTGCTGGGTGGCACTGATGGGCTGCATTGATGGGCACTGATGGGCGGCACTGCTTTGCGCAACTGCTGGGAAGCACTGATGGGTGACACTGGTGGGAGGCACTGCTGGGCGCTGGTGGGTGGCACTGCTGGGCACTGGTGGGTGGCACTGTTGGGTGGCACTGCAGGGCACTGATCATCTGGGCACTGATGATCAGTGTCGATCTTCTCTGTGACAGCGTGAGGAAAGTGCTGCCGATAACTGGCAACTGTATTTACTCCGTGATCTGCTGTGTCATTGGACACAGCTGATCACGTGGTAAAAGGCTGCTGTGTTGGCCTTTTACCTCATCAAGTGATAAGCTGTGTCTGTAGGTAGGGGGGCACGCTGGGACGATGTCATATGACGCCCCCCTCCAGAACTGCGTAACCGTGCTGTAGCTGTCATTTGGCTATAGCACGGTTACCAATTGGTTAAGGCTGTCAGCAGAATGGCCTCTACAAATTCATCAGTGCTTAAAAATGGAGAGCAACAGAGCATGTGCAGATCAGGGTGAGTCAGCGTATTACTAGATTTTAAACAGTATAGGCATTTATTTTTAATGTTTTACATAACTATACCTGCAAAAGGGACCAGATTGAAGTTATCTAGCAGGACTTAAGTTTCTGACTAAAGTTCCACTATAACAACCAGGACAAGTGGTTAAATCTGACACAGACCATTTTAAAGGGTCAGAGCACCAGAAAAGTGTATTTTGGGATTTATGGAATTACCCCAATAGTGTACTGTCCTGAAAGTCCTTACAGTATTAAATGTACTGAAAGTACTATTTTTCTTTTTTGTTGTATGCATACCTTCCTCTTAGATTGTAAGCTGCAAGGAGCAGGGCCCTCCTAACCCTCTTGTATTGAACTGTATTGTTGCTGTATTGTCTCCCGTTATTTATTTATTTATTTCAGGTGCTTATATAGCGCCGTCAATTTACACAGCGCTTTACATATATATATACGGTATATGTACATATATATATTATATACATATATATTGTACATTCACATCAGTCCCTAACCCTCAAGGGGTGTACAATCTAAGGTCCCTAACTCACATTCATACATACACATACTAGGGCCAAATTTAGACAGGAGCTAATTCACCTAGCAGCATGTCTATGGAGTGTAGGAGGAGAAACCGGAGTACCCGGAGGAAACTCAAGCAGGCACAGGGAGAACATGCAAACTCCAGTTACATTGTAAAGCGCTGAGCAAACTGTTGGCGCTATATAATTCCTGTATAATAATATTAATAATAATATCTGAATCAGAAATCACATTGTCTTAGTTGTCGTCTGAAAATAAATCCACAAAAAAGCTATGGCAGAAGGATGGGAAAGGCATCAGTTCCCTGCAAGCCCCTGTTACCTAGGTAACACAGTTACTATTTTGTTAACCACTTGCTGCCCTGCCTATGGTCAAATGACGGCCTGGTGAACACTTTCGTCCCTCCGGGAGAACATCATATGACGTCCTACCCGGATCGCGCTTTTTGCGCATGCCCGCAGGGCTGTGCTGTGGCGAAATCTATCACCGGCCGTGTCCCTCGGACATGGCCGATGACAGATCTGTGTGCTAGCCCTGTTGCCAGCACCAAGTGACCTGCTGTGACCAATCACAGCAGGTCACATGACAGTTGTACACAATGGATGGCTTCCTTTCATGCCATCCATTGTATACAAGTGTGTCTAGCTGTGAATGGTCACAGCGATCACATGCACAAGCTGGGACAATCACAGCCCATCTGTGTCATGTGATTAGCCATGGCCAATCACAGCTAATCACAGAAAAAAACCCTGAATGAATCGATTTCATTCAGTTAAATGCTTGCTTTTAGCAAAGAAAGAATTTGCTATAAGCAATCAAATTGTGTAAATTAAAAAAAAAAAAAATACTGATCACTTCACCAAAGTAGTACAATGTTACTATGGTAACATTATACTACTTTGGTCATAGTGCAATATGAAAAAACAAATCTTAAAAAAGAGAAAAAATTTAATAAAAAAATAATAAAAACATTTTTAAAAATTGAAAAAAAATTATCTTTTTTTTTGTACTGTCACCTACGAGTCAGTGACCCTGATCACCGCCACAGCAGCTGATGCTGGGCTGCACTGTTGACAGTATGTAAAAGAAAAATGTGAAAAATCATTTTTTTAATTTCTTCATTTTCCAAAAACAAATTACTTAAAAAAACTTGCCATGCCTCTTATGAAATACGTTGGATTGTCTACTTTGCAAAAAGGGGTCATTTGGGGGATATCTGTACTGTTCTGACATTTTTGGGCCTCAAGGAATTAGATTGGCTGTCAGTACTTCAGGATTGATCAATTTTCAGATCTATACCATAGTTTGTGAACTCTATAACTTTCCTACAGACTAAATAATAAATACAGACACTCCTCGCTTAACGACCTACCTGTTTACCTCGCACTTACGACCATCTCTTCACCGTTACGACCGTACTTTGCTAACTTTATGTTCTGTAATACAACATTCCAGTACTGTGTGTAAATTACACAACCTATGCAAATTAAGACAAGTGGAAGTTTTCAGTTGGATCTTTCTTGTTATTTTACTTATTCAGAATACTGTATTGTCAAATACTATGCATATATTGTACTACTGTATACAGTACATGCAGTTCCTCACTTAACGACCAAGTCGTTGAAAAACGGAACTCGGTCGTTAAGCGAGGAGTACCTGTACTGATTTGGGTTATTTTCACCAAAGAAACGTAGCAGAATACATCTTGGCCTAAATTTATAAAGAACAATTATTTATTTGCAAACTTTTATAGCAGAAACAAAGAAACACGTGGTTTTTTTTTTCAAACATTTTGGTCTTTTTTTGTTAATTTAGCAAAAAATAAAAACCCCAGCGGTGATTAAATACCACCAAAAGAAAGCTCTAGTTGTGTGAACAAAATGATAAAATTTTAGTTTGGGTATAATGTTGTATTGATTGACCGCGCAATTGTCATTGGGCAGGAAGGGGGTAAAAGTGCCTGGTACTGAAATGGTTAAATGAAGAGATCTTAGGACAGATGAGCTTTGAAAATCTGTGTTCTATTGTTAACACATCTAAAAAAAGCAATGTGGAACTGTTCAAATATCACTTATATGTGCTATGAATAGAAATTGTTTAGGTTTGAGCCATTTCTGCTTCTTGTTTGCTTTGTTTTGAAATCATTCCCATATGCCACAGATATTGTCTGACAAACAGAACAATAGGAAGCTTCTCTCTTGCCAGAATTACAAAACAGAAGACTTTGGTTCAATATTACATTTTGTACATCAGTTTATTACCATATAAGTCATGAGGTTTACACAAGCTGCTATGCTGTTTTCTATTGACAATGAAGGGACAGTGTGTGCCTTTTCATAGAATGTTTTCATTCCAGGCCCAAGTCTTATTGAAGTCAGTAATGTACACACAAGTTTAACTTCTTGTACTATTAGGTGATGCACTAGTGAGAGCAAACTACATGTTTCATTTTTGTATTTCTATTCGCTATACAAAAAATGCTGCTTTGTAAATTCGTTTTTCATATTTCATACATTTTCATATTTCATATTTATGTTTCAGACCCTCATGGTAGTGTCAAAAATGCTGATGAAAAAAAACATTATAAATATATTGTAGAAACCCTGCCCTATGCAGTTGTGTCTTTATCCAAATTTAGTGTGCGTTACTGCTAGGCCGTAAAATGCCTGAGCTAATGTTTACTCTTTTTTCTGGGTTCTACAGGTTTTCCCTAAGCTCAGGTGATTAATTGCTTTCACCTTCTGCTGGAAGGAGGCTCCACAACAAATTAGCTATGGAGAGTCAGTCTCTGAGTTATTATTATTTTATCTTACTACATTTGATGGTGCTGTTCAGACCCTATGGCCTGATAAGATGATAAACATTTGGGAGCACCTTTCTGGAACTCTCTATTGCAGCCGGTCCCCCTAAGATGTCATTCTGACGAAACATGCTGGACGTGGCTTGTACAGGACATCATCAAGCACTAATGCACGTTTGAGTCTGCATTATTTTTATTGTGTTTTTTTACTTGATTTTATTATCTGTGGAGCCAGCTTTGCTTCAATAAATGGCAAAAGCCTTTTTTAACTTTTTTAACACC